TATTAAGAACTTTGACGTTTTGGTTTGTAAAAATTTTGAAAATTATAATTTATAAACATTATAAAAGTAAGAATCAAATATTTTTTTAAATTCAAAACAATAATATTATAAACTAAAGATTATGAAAAAAAATGAGGGAAACGCGGTGTTTTTATTCTATTAAAATTTATAGTTTTATTAGAATTTTTTAATTTGCACAAAGTTTCTGGATTGAGCTGATTAATGCGCCACCAACCTGGCACACATTCAAGAATTGCAGTATAAAGTTTCGGAAAAGGTTTCGGGGTTTCGGAAAGGGTTTCGGGATTTTACATATAGTTTCGGGTTCGTTAGTATTGAATATCAGGAAAATTGATTTTTGTTGATAAATCGTCAATTAATAACGCTTTCTATTGATAAATTTATCAATTGATATTTTACGAATCAATTGTTATCTGTTAATCGTTCTTTTTTTTTTTGCTTTTTTACGCGTTATTTGTTATGAAAGGTCATTAATATCGCAACGAGGTTAAGCAGATTTGGATGAAATCAAGTTAATTGCCTTAATTACGGGATAATTTGTATATATTAGCATCAAATCCCACTGGTTTGAAAACCACAGATTAATGCTTTTACAGACGCAAAACCGTCATTATTATATTAATAAGGTATATACGTATAACGCGAAATCAAATTGCTAATAGTATATCACGAACAAAGTTGATTTACTATAAAAATCGCGTGATTATAAAAAAGTGAAACATTGTAATATTTTTGTTTTTTTTAAATTTCAAATCAGCGAAGCAAGGCATATAATATCAAATTTAAATCGAAAATAGCCTTGTTTTATGCCTAGTAAATACATTGAACGCATATATATATATATAGTAAATTACGATAAACAATAAATGAATCGATTTAATATTTTGTGTCGTGTTTCCTCGCTTGAACTTTCAAAGAAAAGAGATTCTCTAGAAAAGGTTCAAGATCGATCAATTAAGTATATATATTAGTATAAAATGAAAAATATTTCGTTTATATTAGTAATAATCACCTTTTTATTTTGTGATTTTGGTGAAACAAATTTTGCCCAAGCTTCAGCCAAACCCAATTTTCCGAATAATTTAGTAGCTTTTTCAGGACTCAACGTTACATCAATTGTTTTTTCAATCTTATTTTGACTTTTTTCTGGATAAAGAAATATATAAATGTCATGTTATTAACAATCCAAAATATTATTATAATAATTAATTTACTAAAAGTTGATAGGTTACCATGAGAACTGGATGATTGAAAAGTTTCACATTGTTGAAATTCTTTAGAGTTATGAAGAACATAGTCTTGATCAAGTTGACATTCTGTTATTTCACCGAATCTTACTTTTTTGATTTTAGGTTTAGTTATTTGACCTTGTGATATAGGTTCTTGAATCTTTGGTTGGTCAGTTTGAACTATGAATTTTTCTTGTGGCCAAACATCTTTATATTTTGAGGTCAATTGATTTTCTTTCGTGAGTCCACTTTTTGCTTGATCATTCGCGAGTCCATTTTCTGCCAGACCTTTTATAAGTTCATTTTCTGTCGGATCTTTCATAAGTTCTATAAGTTCTCTTTCTGTCTGATTTTTCATAAGTTCTCTTTCTGTCTGATTTTTCATAAACTCGCTTTTTCTATCTGTTTGATTCATCAAAGGTTCTTCATTTTTCGTTTGATCTTTAGTAGTTCCTATAGATCTTTCAGTTTTATCTTCGACTTTATCGGTCAGCATTAGAATCTGTTAACGTAGAAAGTAATGTGAATTTTGATGCACGGATGAACAAAATAATTTCTAAAATTGTTGACAAGTAAAAAGATTGATGTTTATAAAAAAAAGGCGGAGTTTGGTATTAATAAGATTCCTTTTTGCTATATGATGTAATTTTTCCTTGATACAATAATATCAGCAACGTAATATGATATCATAGAATAATAACTAGTTAAGATCACGGGTATAAATCAAATCATATAAATAATCGTTGAAAAGTACCTAATTTTAAAGGAGCTTGAATTTATTTTTCAAAGTACTCATTTTAATTAAAAATTTATTAAAACCATTATGTAATTGAGTTGGTAATATGAAAATTATTGAATGCTACGTATCGACATTTATTTTATATATATATTTATATATATAAGTACATAATATATATAATATATAGTATACAATTCAATACGAATATTATTATGAAATTTAAATAAATTAATTCTAATGCAATCATTTATCTGCCTGTTGCGATAAAAATTAATTATGAAACCATCAAAATAGAACATAATTATTTACGATAAAAAGTTTGATAAATTGAAGTTACAGTAATAATTATAAATATCGCCAAGAATTAACTTTATCTGCATAAAAAAGTTTCTAAATTTATATTTTTAATTCAAATACGTACAATTTTTACAATTTTAAAATGCATCAATTTTTTATGTGCATTGTACTTGTATAAATTTGGTGCGTATCTGCAGTTCAGATTTGATATACGTAGGAGTAATATGATAGATCTGAAATAATATCATAATAATTAAGTCAAATCTCAAATCATTAAACCATCATTAAAGTTTCAAGTTTTTTCTATCTTTCATATAAAATGACCAATTTCTCCCATATCCTTCCGAGGTATTTTGAATTTTCTTTTCAAAAATTTAAAAAATTTAGAGAGCACTAAAGGATGGATTCTTTTAAAGAGAAAGCTCTCATTCTTAACGATATTCGATCTAACCTTATGAAACTCTCTTCCAAATTTCAAAATGATTCCGACTCAATTTCTACAGATTTTCGTACATCCTTTCGTCAACAACTATTTGTCGATCACGATTATGATCCATCAATCTGTGACGATGAAATTTCCTTCCTTAAACTTTTCGAATGTCAATTAGATTATGAAATACCTACCGAAACGATACATCAAGATGAAATTTCAAAAATAGAAGCATTCTTGGGCGAAGATGTCAAAACAGAATATTTGAATGCGATAAATTCCGCACACAAATTTTGTCTTCAAAATTGTCGTGATCAAAAGAGGGCTGCATTACGAGATATCTTTATGCTTCCATCCGGAAATAAGGATTACGTGATAAAAACATTGAGCCGAATAGATTCTTCTTTTGCGGATATGTTATCACACATGGTTGAACAATTTCGTGTTAATATTGGTTTTTATAATGCAAATTCCACTTCCATAAATAATTCAACATTAATCAACCAAACGCGGTTCACCGATGAAATCAAACAAATTCTTGAAAACTATTTCTGTGAAGTATCTGACCGCCCGAAACACTGTGAAAAATTAGAATTAAGCAAATCAACTGGGTTGACCATAAAACAGATTGAAACTTGGTTTAATAACAGAAGGAACCGCGCAGAAAAGGATAATGAAAAACTTGAGAGATTGACCACCGAATTTTTAGATAAAAATGTGGATTGGGATGAAAAATTTACTGCTGTCAGGTCAGGAAAGATGACTGCAAAGGACATGAGAACTAGTTTAATAGAAGCATTCGATCTACCATATATTGATTCGATAGAAGAAGATTCATTTGCTATTGCTGAAGAGATCGAAACTGCCAGGTCAAACGAATCACCCTCCGTTAAAAAGTCTACCAAAACCCGTGGACGTCTTACAAAAGAAGCTCGTAAAAAGGTTGCTCCTTACAACAAATCTACACCCATGACGACAAAAATAGCAATGATGCGAACAAACAATGCTAAAAATGACTCAATTCCACAAGATGAAGATTCCCAAAATCCCACTTCTGTTGTTCAACATTCTGCTCAGCTCTACGAAAATGAATTTTCACCAGAGTCTAATATTTCTCAGCAGACTACAACAGATATATTCAATAATTCAGTTGCAACAACAGATATATTCGATAATTCAATTGCAACAACAGATATATTCGATAATTCAGTCGCAGCAACAGATATATTCGATAATTCAGTCGCAGCAACAGATATATTCGATAATTCAGTTGCAACAACAAACACGACCACGCTAAAAATTCGCCATCGTCCTAATAAGAATTTGACAAGAGCAATATCACAACCATACAATCGCACTCGACAAAATAAACAAATAATAAAAGACAATGAACCAATTATCTCCAGAGTTCCATCTATGGATGAAGATCAATTTCAAGTAGCGGAAGAAATCCAACCACAAAACCTTGATTTTACCCAAGTAAATGATATGATACAATATGCTTCGCTTTCTAGGAGCTCCACAAGCTCTTTTGAAGGTGACTTCTTTGATTATGTATCTACATACGCACCGACAACAAGTTTTAGTAATCTTTCCGACATATCCGACTTCAGCCAATTAAGTGACGCAGTTGAGCTTGATCAATTAAGTGATCTCTCGACTGTAAATAGTTACTCCACATTACCTTTTGATTTTGAACAATATGGTTCCTCATCCACGATTGAACAATCGTTGAATGATCACGATTTTACTTTTAATGCGGCCACCATGTCCAATTTATCCGATAGCTACTTAGATTGTACGTCAAACACGAATACTTTTGTGTCAACGAACACTTCACAAAATTTTTCTTCGGAGCAGGCATCCATAATTGACGTGACAAATCAATACAATTTGTTCGATCTCTTACCTGATAATGATATGAACATTACTCAACAAACTTACTTTGGCAACAGTAGTTTTACTATTGATTCTCTCGGTGAAAATATTGACCCTAACGATGTAGAATCATAATATTCATACTTTTCACTTATTCCAATGAGAAATATTTCTATTTTTATTTTTATTTCTATTTTTATTTCTATTTCCAGTGATAATTTTCTTATTTTTCCTTCAAATACTTAAAGAATTTTTTTTTGATTGTTAATATTTCGATCACGTTTCATAATATTTTTATCAAAATTATCTTATTATATATATATATATATTTAAAGCTATTCTTTATTTGAAAATGACTTTATTGTTACATTGTAAATATTTTTAAGACTTTCTTGTAAATTTTCTTTTTGTAAATTTTTTTTTTGTAAAGATTGAAATTGATTTCTTATATGATTTTTGATTATAGTTTTCTTTTTTCTTTATTTTTTGTTTTAATAGTTTTTCATAGTTTATTTATACATAGTATTTTTATCTAATATCTTTTCGAAGTTTATATAATTTTAATCTGATATTTACTATATTTTTTAAATTTATCTATCCTTATACTGTATAAAGTATATACGCGTTTTTTTTTATACAATTTAAAGGTTAATATTGTCATATTAATCTATCTCTATATAAAAATATATACGCGTATTTTTTTTTTTCCCCACAATTTCAAAGTTTTATTCTTGTCATTATATCTGTAATGTAACCCTAGTTCAGGGGTTTCTTGTCACAACTTTGATGAAGGTCTATTTTAACAATGTGAACTAATCGTAGCATGTAACAAAATAGAGCATGTGTATAAAATAGTAAGGTTAATAATAGTATACAGTACAGTAGGGAATAAATATGCGAGGTTACGCAATGAAAGCTTTCAGTATATTTTTACAGGTACTTTATTCTGCATTACGCTGTATATAGTCATCTACAGCAATTACTCGAGCAGATCTCAACCAGTCAAATAAATTCATATTTTACCTCAGATCTATCCTAGTTGGCAAACGAAATTTCATCAAAACAATTGTATTCAATTTTTTTAAAGTAATAAAATTCTTATTAGGCTTAGAGTTATGATCGCGACAAGGCTTAGTTTAAATCAAAATGTTGCAAGGAATTTTTTTTAGAAAACCAATTTCATAGAAAACGTAATTTTTCACATTATACCTAATCTTATAACCTGATTGGTCATATCGGACATACCCTAGCATAGTGTTGTTAGACGAAACCTATTTCCAGATGGCGAAAGACAAAGTCGAAACTTCTTGGCGAAACGTCGAAACCTTTGCTCTCACAAAAAGTTCGTTTCCGTGATTTTCAAGCCACGCGGGTTTAATTAAATAATAACAGATAATAAAGTTTTTTCTCCGGCTTAGAAACAACTAGACTGATACTTCTTGTGACATAGGTTAATGTGGTTATCTATTAATAAAGTTTTAATTGTTTGTTAGTAATTTACTATAGTAGAACCGATTACTTGTAACTCTGGTCAAATTTGCAAATTGTTTGGTCAGATTCGGAATAGAAAGTTCTGGGTTTGACCAAACGATTTGCAAATTTAACCAGAATTATAAATAATAGGTTCTATATTTAGATTACATTTATAAAATAATAATGAATATTTTTGTCTGTCACGTAAAAATCCTATGCATTGATAAGTACTTGAAACGGGCAATGTTAAATTCAATATAGCTACTTATGTAAAAAAAAGAACATATAAATTTTTTTTAAAAATAATTAAATCAAATCGTACATATTATTTTGCAAAGAACCATAATTAAAGGAACTGATTTTAGAGTTGCAGTAAAATTAGTAAAGTTGTTATATTGTAATTATTTATAGTATAAGCTACAACAATTTTAATTGTTATCATTATGTATTAAAAAAGCAAAAAAAAAAAGTAATCGATGATTTCTGATTCTGATTGCCGATTTTTTTAACAGAAATAAAAGTTGTAGATTCATAATTTTGTAACATATTTTTTGATTTAACATCTTTTGTAGGAATATATTTTGCATACCCTTCATGTTGTAAAGAACTTGATTGTGTAATATTAAAATTTGCTTCTTTTCTAACCCGGTAAAATTTACTATTGCATGATAAGCAAGAAGAAAATTTAAAAGCTGCACTAAATTCAATCTTATAAGGATTATTACATGATATTGCTAAGGAACTTTAGTATAACTTATATTTTCATTACAATAAATTTTAGAAGTTGATAAAAAAGACATTTGTGCATCCAAAGCATGTTCCGGGATAATAATTTTAGTCATTAGAAATGAAATTTTTTTAAAAAAATGTATGCTAAATAAATATATATTATATAGTTGATATACATACGTCATCAGAAGTAATGTTAAAAAAATCGGTCGATTTCTTTTTTTTTTGACCTGCAAATTTCACATTTTTTTGCAAACCGTAATAAATATATATTTTTTATATTTAAAATTATTATATAATTAGTATAAAAGTAACAACCAGATTTTTAAGATTTTAATCAAGACAATTTAATAATTTTAAAATATAATGGTTTTAACTACTATGATCAATCATATAAGTAAATAATGTTTCTTAATTTATTATATTAGATATAAAGTTTAAAAGGTTTTATTATTAAACAAACTTATTTCACAATGATAAGATCTCCAGAAAAATAACTTGGTATAGAAAGAAGCATTTATATTTATAAATTAAATTGATTAATTATTTAGCGTTTATTCACTATATAGTTTTCACAACTTTTAGTTTGTTAGTGTCACGGATTTTCACCATTTTAGAATTTTTTTGTTGAAAGTCGAAACTAATGTTCGACTTTCACCAGCGTGAGACCCCCTAGGTTTCGCTTAACAATACTACTCTAACATCTAGTAAATAATGAAATCTCTCCTTGATTCTGATTATATTTTCTCGTAGACAAACCAAAAAAAAAATTTATCACCAGAGAAAAAATATTGTATGTCAAAAGCAATTTGAATAAACGAACGAGCATTAGGTTAGGGATATTAAGTAGTTCAAAGTGAATTCAGTTCATTTTGAATTGAACTGATACGCATGTATTAAAGGAATGACTCTTGAAAACTTGGTTTCAAACTAGGTTTAAACAGCTTAACATTAATTAGTTCAGTTTTATTTTTGAATTAATTCGACCAGATCAAATACATAAACCGATTAAGGTAAAAGCTTCAAAGTTCCTTTAACATTCATGATCACTAGGGCATGTTTGCTTATTATGCAACTTCCAAAATGAATCCATCTTTACTTGGATAACCAATTTAAATTATCTGCTTTTTCGTTAATCCATGATGTGATTTTAACGTGTTCTTCGCTAATAACTAGGGTTCCGCATGGGATGGACTATCCATGGATTGTTCATGGATCAGCCCAGCATGGACCGGGCCTTGGATATTAATATGGACTTTTTGTTGGATCTGATCTCAAAGATCCAGATCCATATAAAATTGGATATATCCGAATCCATATCCAAAAACCTATGGACAATCCATATGTATCATATCTTGCTATGCAAAATTGTGAACAAAAAAGGCATTCAAACTATTTTCGAATTTTCTTTTTAGATTTTTGATAATCTCGCATCATTAATTATGCTTGAAAAAAAGTTAAATTCTTGTTGATAAAGATATAAATAATATTATTGCTTTTGATTTTTTTTTTAAAAAAACATTTTTTATATTGTAAAACCCCATATCTTTTTATTATGATAACTACAACTCTCAAATAACAATATGGACATTAATAATTAAAGAGTTTTACTTAAAGTAGCGAAATATTAAAATGTAATCAAATAGACCCGTTAATATTAATAAATTTAGAATTATTATTTAAAGTTTCTCTATTTAAAAAATGTGAAGATATATTATTTTACAAATTATTCTATAACTATACATATTAGTCATATGAAATTTATTCTACGTATATACATATACACACATCTTACTTTTATTTTGAACCAATGTATCTATATTAGTTACATACTTGATTGGTGGAAATCAAATTTTCGTCGATTTCCAAACTTATCTTGTATGGCTATGGATTTTTTTTGCTATCCCAGTAACAAGTGCAAATTTTTAGTTTAGCTGGTAGAATTATTGATGATGGTCGTATTAATTTAGATTCAGATACTGTTGAAGCATTATATGTCAAAAAAATTGGTTGTCAAAGAACTTAGTTGTTTAAGAAATTCTAAACAACATAAATAGCATGTAACTTTATTATATTAAAATAGATTTTAGACTACTGTATATGAAATTATAATTACCGGTAATATTATAAAAATTTTTTTATAAAAACTAACTTGGATGAGCTTGGATTGTACTATGCGGTTATGGGCCGGTGTTACGACCGGTGGGAGAGCTTATAGGGTCTTGGACCAATTTAGCTTCAATCGTGAACAAATAGTGGTTAAAGGTAAATGGTTTAAATCGATAAACACACATAATTACAGGTTAAGGTTTCTCTTGATTAACATAAATCAATACACCGGAATATTACAATAATACTAAATACTATTAATAAACGTTAACAACTGTTCATAATTATCCTCCCTCCTCATAATATATAACTACACCTTTATATATATTTAATTTGTATGGGGTTTTAATCAGTCGTTTGGAGCTTTAATCAGTTGTTTGGAGCTTTAATCAGTCGTTTGGAGATTTAATCAGCTTTAATCACCCAACCGTGCCACAAACTATACTAAAATAAAATTCATAAAATGACAATAGAATAATATGACACTAACTAAAATAAAAATTTGAGCATAACACCGGGCTTGGGTTTATCCAATTAAATATGGGCTGGATCTGGATATCAAAATATCCGGCCCATGCGGAACCCTACTAATAGCTAAAAAATGGATCTGCTGATCCAGAAATAAATTAATCACACATGCGTAATATTATTTATTTAATAGATTACATATAATGCGTATTTAGTGTATCTAGTGGAGGTAATAGCAAAAACGGCATAAATCGTATAAAATTCTTATTATAAATAACTGGGTCCACCGGGTCGTTGATAATTTGAGGGCACATAGAAATTAGGATAAGTTATGTTAACTCAGTTCGATATAGTAT